GCTTTGCTCTGGCAAGTCCACCGCCAAACCCCGCCGAAACACTTTCGCCCTGATTTCTGCTTTCCAGATTGGAAACGTCACCGTCCTATCTATGCTTTAAACCGGATTACGGATTAGGTCTCGGATTACGGATTCTACTCTTTGGGGCTTCTGAGACGGATTCCGGGATTACGGATTAAGGTAAGGCCCGCGAGCATTTGGTACAGCTTAGATGCGTCTTACAAAGGGGTGTTGCTATCTGTGCATGATACAATGGTTTGAACATGTTTGACACATGTTTTCATGACTATAGGATGCTATAGGTATGTAGAATACTGTATAATTAATGATCCTGCACATATAGATATTGCTATGATATTGAATCATCATGCAACATATATATATATATACAGATAGACAGACAGACAGACAGACAGATAGATAGATAGGTAGAGATAGATAGATAGCTAGCTAGCTAGCTAGATAAATAGATAGATAGATAGATAGATAATGATAGATAGATAGATAGATAGATAGGTAGATAGATAGATAGAGGTATGACCACATTATGCCCAACAAAAAGCCTTTGAAACCCATGCTCCTTCGCTGTTCATGCTTAACGCCCCGAGGTTTAGCGCCCGGCGACGTGCAACGCCTGCTGTCGGAACCTGCCCCGGAGGGGGCGCCGGGGGCGCTGGAATGCTGCGTGTGTCTCCAAGAGATTCTTCCCAGTTCTCCATCGCTCCGTCACCTGGAAAACGCTAGGAGCGATTTTTGTTGGCCAAAAGTGGAGGAGTTGGAATGATTTACATATCGATGTACCATCAAATATGCATATATAATATTATATAATCATATTTTATATATATATATATATGTATATGCATCTATATATCCATATATGTTGTGCATTTACGTAAGTTGTTTACGTTTACATGTGCCAGTTTTTGCAAAAGACATTTTTCTTCGACATGAGTCCAGCGACTTGTTTCTTTCGGGCCAGGTTTACATTGCTGCTCCCAGCTTTACCACCACGAATGCATCGTGGAGTGGCTTGCGGTCGTGGCGCGCTGCCCCATGTGTCGTGAGACCGTGAGGCCTGCGGTAGAGAGTTCACCTGTGTGGCCGTAAAGTCGTGGTAGCGACTGGCGACAAAGCTCCAGAAATTCGCCACCACATGCGTTGGTTCATGTTCAGCGTGTTAATATTTTAATGTGTATAGTTTTGGTTTTTTGGAGTTGGGAAAGTTGATGGCCAAACAAAGTAACTATGTATGCCTTTTCTTCCGACACTTTCAAATTCTTTGCCTTTCTCTCACATGATGCGTATTCCGTCACATCGTTGAATAGTACTGTCCCAAAAAAGAAGTCCCATTATACTAACTCCACGTGACACCAAAAAAATACTGTATACACATAGAAATCGGGGATGATTTGGTTGCATTGCATGATGTGTTGTTTTTTCCATAGTTTTTGGGATGAAGATACCCCAGACCAGGTGAAGTTCTGATGTTAGAGTTGCTCCATGTGTTGACACATTGGACCGAGAGAGAAAAAGGATCTGATACTGAAAAAGTATTACAGTAACGTACCCTCTGGTAAACTAACATAGCTATTGAAAAGCACCAGTTTTAATGGATAAATCAACTATAAATGGCAATGTTCAATAGCTATGTTAGTTTACCAGAGGGTACCTTTTGGTAGTTGACATACAGACCCCGCAAACTTCAATTTTTAGACCCTATCTGGGTCTGTTGATTTACCGGAGGGTATCTGTGGATGTCCAAACACGATGGTTTCTTAAAATGGGGATCCCAAAAACTATAGGATCTATAGGTTTCAATAATTACTAAAATTGTCTACTTTTGGATGATTTGGGGGTATTCCTTCTTTCAGGAAACCTCCATATGTTAACCTTGGATGTCTAATGTCCATGTTTACTACCTACACGTTTCATTCATGTTCATGTGTACTTTTTGGCATTTGTGTAGTCTTGATGTTTGCTCGTCAATGTCGATGTTTACCAGCATACATTTGCTGCAGCAAATTCCTCAACCTTCTTTTAATTGCTGCTGCCGAGTCTTGCTGTTGGACATGTTTCATTGGACTCAAGCGATATGCCGTTGAATCACATTTGACGCATATTTTCCCAAAGGATGTTGTTCTGTTCCTCACTCAACGATGTATATTTTTGCTATGCATGAGAGAAGGTCTTTCGCTCGAAATTCCCTTGAATTTAATCTTGGCAACAAATAAAACCATGGGAGAGGTATACCGGAACAAAGGCTAGGGTTTAAACATAATCAAAAAATAGAATGGGCTAGCGCCCTGGTGCCGCCGACCCCTCCTTAATGGGGGGGTTGGTAACATGCGCATGTTCCCCGCAGCCGTCGTTATGGATCGTTGTGAAGGAAAAAGCGTATGTGTACATTTGCCCCGCTTGCAAAGGGAATGTGGCCAGTGACGTGAAGACAGGGCAAATAAACCATCGAACGGTCTGTGGGAACCAGTTTTCTGTCAAGGACGGCGTTGTGAAGGAAAAAGGTGGCAAACGGCAGGCTTGAACGCCGAGAGGAAGCCATTGATCTGGCTTTGGGGTACATTTTGATGCTTGTACAGGCTGGCAAACGGCAGGCTTGGACGCCCATAAGAAGCCATTGATGTGGCCTTGGGGTGCCTGTTGGCTGCGAAACGCCTGGCAAACGGCAGGCTGGACCGCCCAGAAGAAGCGATGGATCTGGCCTTGGGGTAGCTCTTGCACGGTCCAGAAAAAGCGATGGATCTGGCCTTGGGATAGCTTGTGCCTGCGCGGTTGGGCGTTCCGAAAGCTTTTGCAGGTTTTAACGGTTGTAAGCGTTTTAGGCGTTTTAGGCGTTTTAAGCGTTTAGGGGCTGGCAAACGGCAGGCTTGGACGCCCATAAGAAGCCATTGATGTGGCCTTAGGGTGCCTGTTGGCTGCGAACGCCTGGCGAACGACAGGCTGGACCGCGCTTGGGGATAGCTTGTGCCTGTGCGGTTGGGCGTTCCGAAACGCTTTTGCAAGTTTTAACGACAGGCTTGGACGCCCATAAGAAGCCATTGATGTGGCCTTGGGGTGCCTGTTGGCTGCGAAACGCCTGGCAAACGGCAGGGTGGACCGCCCAGAAGAAGCGATGGATCTGGCCTTGGGGTAGCTCTTGCACGGTCCAGAAAAAGCGATGGATCTGGCCTTGGGATAGCTTGTGCCTGCGCTTTTAACGGTTTTAAGCGTTTTAGGCGTTTTAAGCGTTTAGGGGCTGGCAAACGGCAGGCTTGGACGCCCATAAGAAGCCATTGATGTGGCCTTGGGGTGCCTGTTGGCTGCGAACGCCTGGCAAACGGCAGGCTGGACCGCCCAGAAGAAGCGATGGATCTGGCCTTGGGGTAGCTCTTGCACGGTCCAGAAAAAGCGATGGATCTGGCCTTGGGATAGCTTGTGCCTGCGCGGTTGGGCGTTCCGAGACGCTTTTGCAGGTTTTAACGGTTGTAAGCGTTTTAGGCGTTTTAGGCGTTTTAAGCGTTTAAGGCCTGGCACACGGCAGACTTGGACGCCCATAAGAAGTCATTGATGTGGCCTTGGGGTGCCTGTTGGCTGCGAACCCCTGGCGGACGGCAGGCTGGACCGCCCAGAAGAAGCGATGGATCTGGCCTTGGGATAGCTTGTGCCTGCGCGGTTGGGCGTTCCGAAACGCTTTTGCAAGTTTTAACGGTTTTAAGCGTTTTAGGCATTTTAGGCGTTTTAAGCGTTTAGGGGCTGGCAAACGGCAGGCTTGGACGCCCATAAGAAGCCATTGATGTGGCCTTGGGGTGCCTGTTGGCTGCGAAACGCCTGGCAAACGGCAGGCTGGACCGCCCAGAAGAAGCGATGGATCTGGCCTTGGGGTAGCTCTTGCACGGTCCAGAAAAAGCGATGGATCTGGCCTTGGGATAGCTTGTGCCTGCGCTTTTAACGGTTTTAAGCGCTTTAAGCGTTTTAGGCGTTTTAAGCGTTTAGGGACTGGCAAACGGCAGGCTTGGACGCCCATAAGAAGCCATTGATGTGGCCTTGGGGTGCCTGTTGGCTGCGAAACGCCTGGCAAACGGCAGGCTGGACCGCGCTTAGAAGAAGCGATGGATCTGGCTTGGGGTAGCTTGTGCCTGCGCAGTTCGGCGTTCCGAAACGCTTTTGCAAGTTTTAACGGTTTGAAGCGTTTTAGGCGTGAAGAAGCGATGGATCTGGCCTTGGGGATAGCTTGTGCCTGCGTGGTTGGGCGTTCCGAAACGCTTTTGCAAGTTTTAACGGTTTGAAGCGTTTTAGGGGTTTTAGGCGTGTAACGGTTTGAAGCCTTTTAAGCGTTTAAGGCCTGGCACACGGCAGGCTTGGACGCCCATAAGAAGCCATTGATGCGGCCTTGGGATGCCTGTTGCTAAGAAAGACAAGTTCCACACCTGCGGTGATCCCAGGCGCCGCCCCTGCCTTGGCTAAGGCCGGGGTCGGCGGATATAGAAAAAAAAAATATATATATATACACACCAAAGGACGCAGGAAACTACTGTAGGTCTCTCAAGTAAGACCCTGTTTTACTTCGAGAGCCTGTTTTACTCATACCCAGTTTTTGAGGGTCGCTTGTCCCAGCCCATCGACCACACAGTCTACAGCAGCGTCCAACCATCCATTTGAACTATAGTACTATGGCTTCCAAGTGACAAAAAGAATGGCACGTCCAAGCAAAGAACACACTTACTTGACTCAAAGTATATGTATTATTCCATGGCAATTTTATGGCATTGTCATGCCATGGTTGGCGTGTTTTTTTTCCTGCGCTAGCTCCAGCAAAACATGCACTACTCATACCTCACAGGTTGGCAAAGTGAAACTGGCAAAACCCACAGCCGACCAAAGGATCAATCCTTGTCAAATTTATGAAGTTAAATTCTCGGCGAGTTCTAACTTTCAAGCGGCTATAGGAGCTGTTTCCTTACCTTTCTTGGGATTCTTACTAGTAGGATCTAGTAGGGGCCATTTCGGCATATTTTGGCTCCAATTAGGAGCAGCAAAAAAATTAAACCGCTGGCTGAAAAGGAATGAGCATGAACCCGAGTCCACCGAGGCTATGAATAAGCTCAAATGCACAACATGCACATCACTTTGATTGCACATTCACAGGTAAAAATGTGGGATCCCACTCCAGAGTGCCAAAACCAGATTTATCCACGTGTCGAAGCTTTTCACGGCTTTTTCACAGATTGTTCACGGCCTTTTCACGAGTTTTCATGGTCTTTTCACATGTTTGGCTTCTGCGTTGTTCGTGTATTGTTTTTTACAATTTCTGCGGAAACTGTGAAGACATCAATTTCATATCAAACAAATATCGGAAAGGCACGCTTACAGCGGCCATCCTTCAAACCGGTGGCACCCCGACAAGTAGCAGGCAACGTTTCTCTTTACTCGGACCTCATCAGACGTGATGTTCGAGGGGATCAAGATGAGAATCGCTGCACTTCATTTTGCTACACAATCATGATGTTGATGGGAAATCTTGGCGATTTTTAATAACTCCAGCCATAATTTGATGCTTTGTTTTTTTTTGTATTTGTTTTTTTTTGCTGTTTAATCTGATTTGGCTGAAGAGAGGTTTCAAAATCCTAGATGGGTGAGGTCTGGAAGGGAATTTCTTCATACATGTTATGATGCACCTGAAATGCCAGCTACATGTCTAATCATATCTCTAGCTCTATGATCTCTTTACAATATATGGGTTATGGGTTATTCAGCATGTTGCAACATACTGTATTCATACGGATGTTCATGATTGCTGATTATCAATCTTCAAATATTTAATCAGGATATGACCATATTCTTGATCCGAAATCGCAGGGCCAAAAAAAAATAATTAAATATTTCGAGAAAAAATAATTTAATTATGTTATGGTTATGAATAATAAAATACTTAATTCATAATATTATCCAACATAATATAAATATATTTTTCAGAAGAATATTGATGATTATGTTTGTGGTGTTGGGTATATGTGTGTTCATTTAATTAATTATATATGTATATGAATTGTGTTTGAATATATTTAGCTTATTTAATTTTATATATTATATTATATTATATTATATTATGTTTTATAATATTATATTATATTATATTATATTATATTTTATTATTATATTATATTATTATTATAAATTATTATAATTAAGAGAAATTTCGAAATTGAAATTTTATTAATATAATTAGATGAAAATAGAAATGGGATGAGATGGGAAAAATTAGATTAAAAAAAAAAAGAATGAATATTTTTTTTAAAAAAAAGGTATGGAAAAAACAAGGAAAATTATAA